ACCTACTTAAAATTATCTGTTAGATTAAGGACCTGCCCGAAACACTGCGCGTACTTGTGGCTTTACAAGATTGTAAATACCATGCTATGTATCCCCACAAACCCAATTGAAATTGAAATTGAAATTGAAATAAGTTTATTGAGGTAAAATACACACAAAGGGATGAGGTAGCTCAAGCTATTCTCACCCCGTTCAGTACAACGTGTTAATATATACATACACAAACCCAATGTACCTTCTTGTATATATATATATAAAAATAAATAAATAAATATTTCAGTTACCCCTGAACAATAGTTGTTTTTCGTTTTCTTTTATATTTAACTAGAGAAAACAACTTTAATTGAGGAACTAATAAATTCGCACTCTAGCCTTTTGATTATTTTAGCGTTGTCAGCATATATCTGGTGATGATCTAGTTGTGTAAAGATTACACGTTCTTTGACAGGGTCTTGCTTAGTTTGTGCATTGACAAACGCTTTGAAAGACATGTTGTTTTCTTGCCTATATTCTGTTCTGAGATCTTTGGTCCTGACAGTCCTAAAGTAAGCATGTGAAAGCATAGACGACATTCGTCTCTTTCAAGGCGTTTCGCTTGGTGTCGGGAGAATATAGCATATTATAAATTCTACACTGGTTGGTGTCGGTAGAGGTCACGGGGAGAGGTTCTCCTTTCAGGTTTCGAATGAACCAGCTCATGAACCCCACACGAAGTCTGTTTCTTCACTGTGATACATGCCGTTTGCGTGAAGAAAATCTCCCCCCTTCCCTCATGCAGTGGGCAGCGGTGGATAGGTTACAATCACTTAGCAAACTGGGGATATTTGGCTAAGATTTCTGGTAGCAGACCATTGTGCCCAAATGGGCAAAAATGTCTTCCAGTGACCTCCGGGCGAGCAGGAGCCAGTCGCCCACCACGGCCCTAGAAGAGAACTATTAGAAGGAAGCACCAAGCCATTACGACTATATAGCGCTGGGAAGCGATCAGAATAAGGATTTATAAGGATTTAGGATGGGACGGGGGGGGGTGGAAAGGAATGGTATCGAACCATTTGGACGGTCGGGAATTGAACGCCGACCTGCATGAAGCGAGACCGTCGCTCTACCGTCCAACCCAAGTGGTTGGACCCACCACGGCCCTAGACCACGCCAGGACCACGCCAAGACCAGCCATGCCTAGACACCACTCGGCCAAGTCGGCGCCGGACACTGCCTCCCCGCCCGATGAACCAGCCAGAAAACAAACTTTTATCACTTCCCTAAGACTCCTTGCAGGCGATAAGTGTTATCGCCTGCTGTATTGGCTTAGCGCTTTCTGCTACGTAATTATCTTACCTTATCCCAGGTGACGAGGGCGCCTGCATGGCGTCCTAACATCCCGGAGCCTTATGTAGGAATTCCTGACTAGTATCCATACCCAATGGGTAAAATGGCGTCACTTGTTCCGGCGGCCCCCCCAGGTGGAGCAGGTGTTGAGACGTTCACTAATCGTCAAGGGTGAACCAGGAGTAATTTTAGAGTAAGACTTGATGCACATGGCAGCGAGGGCTGGACGTCGTGTTGACGGCGTCAGCTGATCGCTGCTGAGTGGCTGTAAGGTTTACGTTTTCTATGTTCGTCCGTCCGGGTGGTTTGTGTTGAATGAACGTCAAGTGTGGCCTAATGTTTTAGTTGACTGGTGTTATTTATCCGGTGCTTTGATTACCTGGGATTATATATGTAATGAGATATTTCTTTCATCTATGTGCCTCATGTAGAAGGGCATTTTGAGGATTATAAGATCTTGTTTGAAGTTGGTCAGGTAGTGCTTCATCACAGCCCGGAGTCAGAACCACCTACGACTCTCAGAGCACAACCCGTCCTCAGGCCAAGCCCCAGCCCGTCCTCCAAACGAAGACTCAGAAGTGATTCCATGCACCCGCCAAACCCCCTGGTGTTTATGACTGAAAAACGGTTTGCACACGACTCACAACTGATTTCGTTCGAACACTTCCGGAACAAGTGCTTCACTGACGAATTTTGTTCGAACCACAACATTATAAATGCTTCACCCACGTACTACAAATACCAATAATCACCAACAGAACCTAAACACCTAACCTAACCTATGCTTATATATGCACAATATGCTAATATATTATAATATTAATTTATATTTGAGAAAATTCCTGTTTTGAATGAACAGCATGTTCAAATTTATGAATGCGTCTGTGGGGTCAACCGCTGGATGGAATGGACTTGAGTCGAGGATGGGTTGAGATACGACTCACAACTGATGACGTCCGAACACTTCGGAACAAGTGCTTCGCTCACGTCCTCTGTTCGAACCACAATTTTATAAATACTTCACCCACCCTCAAATACAAATAATCACCAACAGAGCCTAAACACCTAACCTAACTATACATATAATATTTATGTATAATAATATTAATTTATATATGAGAACAAACCAATTTATAATACGCAGTATGTTAAAATTGATGAATCTGGGGATGACGGCCACTGCTTTAAACAGCCTAGTGTGTGTGGACGGGTTGCAGTCAAGAAAATTAGGTCCTTTGCATTTTGTGATTAAGCTTAAATTATTACTGTTGCCTTCGGAACCCTAAAGACTTAACTTCTTCAAAACTTAATTTTTATTTGCAATTATGTTTGATTGATTAAGAATTTAAATTAAAAATATACACTGTAGTTTCTTCTTTGGAACAGCCGAGGGGTTACACCTTGCAGCTTTAATTTTTTATTTAAAACATCAACAGCATTATCTTCTTGTAAAAGAAAAATCGCCCAATTAAGTTAATTCCTTTGTTCCCCGCTACTACCCACAAGACTGGACGTATTTTCTCCTTTTAACGTAAAAAGAGACAATGGAATTTACATTAAAGTAACTTCAATATTAAATAATAGCCCACAGAAGGTCAATAACGCTGCTGATTGTATAATATTTATTTGCAACAATTATACATTATAATAATTTATATAAATTCTTGTTGGTGTTGTTGTTGTTTTCGATTTAGCTACTCAGAACGAAATGTCCATGTAGCACAGGCTATAGTGAGCCTGTAATTGAGTTCAGTTATTCGAGTCAAAGTTTTAAATGGAGGTGGGGTTTCCTCCTTTTATCCCGTTTCTTTTTCGCTTTTGTTTTAGCGCACTGGTTTTAGCTTGTTTTAATAACATTATCTCGGTGGCGGATATGGATGCACAGTGTTCACTAGTGTGTCCCATTCGTCAACTGTTTTTCTAACCATTGTAGTTTCTGTGAATTTTGCATCTAATGCACCTGCTAAATCCTTCTAATAGATTAGAAGGAAAGCCAACTACAGCCCTAAGTAACTCTTCATATTTATTAATAAAGATAAATTATAAATTGGTATATAATTCCTTCAATCTTCCTTACAATTTTCCAATTGGGAATGAGGTATAAAAATAAGACCAGAAAGATAGATAATTTTTTTCGGCTCACCAGGCGAGGTATATCCAGGAGGACCCATAAACCTCATACGGGCTCACCATAGCCCGTGCTACTTGGAATTTTATGTTCCAGGTAGCGAATCTTTAACAACAACAACCCTCCTCTTCCTCGAGGGAACACGAGGATGTAGAGCCAGAATCAACTACTCAGATGTGGATATAATAGATCAAAACGAAGTGAGCAATACCCACAAGTTCATGGTAAGGTGATGTGTGTGAGGGACATCCTGGGAACAGGGCGTGGGATGTAAGGTGTCGGGGTCCAGGACCATGGCGGCGCGCGTCCACTGATAACCACAGGACGCTGGTCAGTCCTCGTCCTTCTCTGATAATTTTCTCGAAAGTGAACAAGCACACAAGGTGGTGACGGTTGCACACACACACACACACACACACACACACACACACACACACACACACACACACACACACACACACACACACACACACACACACACACACACACACACACACAATGTTGCACGCATCATGCAACGCCGTCAAGTTCCTTGCTCAATGCTCTCGTAATTGTACACTTAAAAGTTCTTTGTACATTCATACATACTTTTGACTAAATTATTATTACGCAGAGCTGATGCAGACAACAGCTGGTGTCCCTCAAGATGAGCGGCAGCAGCTGTACATGTACACCCAGACAGGTGTGATGATACAGGTGTACAAATATCAGTAAAACTCGCCTTCTGCCAACACTAGGTTTCCTGTGATGACCTCATGACAATAGTGTGCAGCACGGCCAGCAAGCTCACATCAACATGCGCCTCCCAGAATTGGAATACACATGTAATTTTGATTCACTGACAAATCCTACGTGTCAAACAATGAAAGTGATTGTATACATTAACATATATCAAATTAGGCTTTGCATTATCGTGCAAATTTTGCATCATGATTTGTAGAAAAAATATATAAATTACGAACATTCTTTAAGCGATGAGATATTGCATCAATCTGTGATTAGCAACATATTGCAAGCATATATTCTCCCCCCCCCCACACAGCAACACGAATCTAAAATAAGTGTTCAGGGGTCATAATGGTCGCCCAAACAGAAAACGCCAGAGAAGTTTCCTCTCTGCCCAGGGTGATTAATGACTGGCCAGCCCGTCCTCCTGAAGGTTCCCAGCGTCAAGAAAACATTCAATTAAAGTGTCTTCTCCTAACCTACCAGAGGACCCAAAACAGAAAACGGGGCGGTACGTCACTTTCGCGATCCCCCTTCCATTTTCCAGTACGACAATTTTTGACTTTAGTAACGCATACGATCCAAAAGGGACGTTCTTTGTAAGAGGACAGGTTGGCAGCGTTCAAACCCTGTTAACGTGGACGTCTAATACAGAGAGACGCAGAGCGGGAGACAGGCAGCCGAGTCCTGACACACACACACATGTAAACAAACATCTTTAAACCTCTTCATTCCATGAATAATTAACAAGAAAGCCACGAAACTAAACATTGCGGACAGGGAGAGCCGACAGGCAGCCGGCTCCCCCTGTCCATCAGCGCCACGGGACAGCAGGATGCCGTCTACAAAAAAAAACTTGCCAGGTTATAAGAAACCAGTTTTACCACTACCTGGAAAATCCCGGGGTTGCCAGTTAGCTAAGTCGTGTCCCGTGGAGTGTTCAGTGGCAGAGAGTGTGTACCCAAGCAAGCAAGCCACTGCGTCGCTGGCTCTCACCCGTCCCCACTCAACCACGTCACCTGTCCTCGTCAGGATATTATACAGGTAAGCCCGGTATTACTACCAGGTGTCCCAGCCTTTGGTGCAGATACATACACGCGCCCGTACACCTACTCAGACACGTGAGTACACGTATTAATGTATGCTCACACGAACACAATGTTTCCAGTTCTGTATACATGAGTTGCATGTTTCCCACTGTGTATACATGAGTTGCATGTTTCCCACTGTGTAAACATGGGTCATATGTTTCCTATTGTGTATACATGAGTCATATGTTTCCCACTGTGTATACATGAGTCATATGTTTCCCACTGTGTATGCATGAGCCGCATGTTTCCCACTGTGTATACATGGGTCACATGTTCCCCACTGTGTATACATGAGTCATATGTTTCCCACTGTGTATACATGAGTCATATGTTTCCCACTGTGTATACATGAGTCATATGTTTCCCACTATGTATACATGAGTCATATGTTTCCCACTGTGTATACATGAGTCACATGTTTCCCACTGTGTATACATGAGTCATATGTTTCCCACTGTGTATACATGAGTCATATGTTTCCCACTGTGTATACATGAGTCATATGTTTCCCACTGTGTATACATGAGTCATATGTTTCCCACTGTGTATACAGGAGTCACATGTTTCCCACTGTGTATACAGGAGGCAGAGAAGTGACTGTTAGAGTTCAATCTCAACAAGTGTTAAGTAATGAAGATGAGAAAGGAAGAGAAGAGACCAGGGGGGGTATTTACACCCTTAGGGAAAGGCAATTACAGGAATGGGAAACATAACCAGGGTAACATCGGCGGCATATGCGACACTGGCAAACATTAGAATGGTAATTGAAAGCCTAAATATGGACTCTTTTTGAGGCAACCTATACAACGTATGTAAGATCAATACTGAAATATGCAACACCGGCCTGAAAGTAGCCACTCATGAAACACAAAACAAAATTAAAAGGTAGAGAGGTTTGCAACAACAGTCGTGCCAGAGCTCAGGGAGTAAACTTATGAAGATAGCCTAAAGAAACTAAATTTTCACAATGCTATTAAACAATAGGGGGGATATGATCACAACGTACAAGATACTGATGGACAAGGTGGACAAAATAGCCTCTCTAAAGTGAAAGTAGGACAAGAGAACATTAAATGGACGCTGAAAACGCAAATTAGTCGAACAAATGTAAAAGAAATCCTCGTACCCTTGACGGGAGGTCAACAAGTGGTGGAAGCCACCGCCATCCACAACTTCAAGCGCTGACTCGACAAGGCATTCGACCGTCAAAATAGTTGCGATAAAACTCAACAGGTACAAGAAGGGAGGGAGGGAGGCGAGGCACAGAGCTGCTGGACCTCACTCCCCCGTGGACGGGTAAACACTGATGGTCAGTCAGGCACAAACCGGTTCTCAGGCCTCCGGGTGTCCCCCACAGGTGCCCCTCCTCACTCTTGCATTTATTTATATATTTATTTATTTAAATACAAGTAATACATTGGGTTTGTGAGAGTACATAACCGACCATTAGGTTATGGATGATGGTTAAGTCTCGCGCATACGCTTAATAATTAGCCTCTTAGTCTTGAAACTAGAAATCGCAGTAATTTGGATTTTAAAGTTCTAAATGGAAACGTTGAAGCCATGATGGATATACAGACCGGAAACTGAACAGTTACCAGGTCATCTGACCCAGAAAGCCCCCCGTGGTATACAGGACCCCCCCCCCCTCATACTGCGTCAATAACCGCCCTAAACTCTCTGCAACGCCTCCTAATTACATGGTCAAGTTACATTATTCACTTACAGAATAATACTGAAGAAATGTTGCATTAACAGATAGGTGATCCCATGGGGTAGCCTAACCATTACTCAAATAACGGTGTGTATATGATACAGTAACGGTGTATCATACAGTAACGGTGTATCATACAGTAACGATGTGTGTATGATACAGTAACGGTGTGTATATGACAGTAACGATGTGTATGATACAGTAAGTCAACCAAAGGAATACATCACAAAACCTGCCTGCGCCCTGAGTATGATCCCGGGCGTTGATAATGCTGGGCGAGGCATTAGACCCACCCCGGGCTCAGCCTTAAACACCCGCCCAGGTTTGCTGACGAAAGATGAAAATGTGGAGAGTGTAGCTACCCTGGAAACACAAACCGAAACACACTCTATTTTCCGCTTGTTACCTTGTAATAAAGTTGTTACATCTTGGCTTAAGTGTTATGACGTATTAGAACGTTGACAAGCTATATGATAACTGGTTAGGAGGTGGTAAAACTTGTTCGAACGTTGTACCAACGTCGTAGTTTCGGTGTGTGTTTGGCGGGTATGGCGCACATGTGGAGAATGGGGCGTAGATGTGGAGAGTCAGTGTTACTGCGGAGTGGGCGTGTGCATAGCTGGAGATGACATAGAGAGCCTGCGGAAGAGGATCAAACCCTCGGAGGAGCCAGAGAGGGAGGAGCTAGTGGGAGAAGGTGTCAGGGGTGTGAGGAGAAAGTAGTGAGGAGGTATATAACACTAACCTCTAGCAGCGAGCAGTCACAGCTCACTTGACCGCTACACCAGCACTCCTTGGTGTCCGTTAACCGGCGCCTGGTCGCTCTCTTATCCGGTTGTACTTAAGTGACACGTATCACCTCAGGTACTGTTGACGCTAATTATTTTACTGGGCAAAGTCTGCTACACACTGATTCGTCCGTGTGTGTGAATGTGATACAGTAACGGTGTGTGTATAATACAGTAACGGTGTGTATATGATGCAGTGACGGTGTGTATAATACAGTAAGGGTGTGTATATGATGCAGTGACGGTGTGTATAATACAGTAACGGTGTGTATATGATGCAGTGACGGTGTGTATAATACAGTAACGGTGTGTATATGATGCAGTGACGGTGTGTGTGTGATACAGTAACGGTGTGTGTGTGATACAGTAACTGTGTATAAAGCAGTAACTGTGTATATGATACAGTAACGGTGTGTATAATATAGTAACAGGTGTGTGTATGATACAGTAACAGGTGTGTATATGATACAGTAACGGTGTGTGCATGATACAGCACCACAGTTTAAAGGTTCAGAATGAGACACAGTGAGTAACATAACGGTGAATCTCATCAATATTCTCATCACCCACACTGTCTTAACACTCTACCAGTTACAATTTTCCGAGCTAAATAATATTTAGCTTTAGAAAGTTCTCTTTTCAGATTACATTGGTTTCCATGGTAGCCTGAGACAGGGTTAACCTGAGGAAGTGTTGGAAGCAGTGTCATGTATATGACATATGCCTCCTGTCATGTATATGACATATGCCTCCTGTCATGTATATGACATATGCCTCCTGTCATGTATATGACATATGCCTCCTGTCATGTATATGGCATATGCCTCCTGTCATGTATATGACATATGCCTCCTGTCATGTATATGACATATGCCTCCTGTCATGTATATGACATATGCCTCCTGTCATGTATATGACATATGCCTCCTGTCATGTATATGACATATGCCTCCTGTCATGTATATGACATATGCCTCCTGTCATGTATATGACATATGCCTCCTGTCATGTATATGACAGGAGGTTACTCCAGTTGACAGCCCGCTGACGGACTCTTTTCTCCGGGTTCCTGGGGAGGGCAGCCTAGTTGGGCGAGGTTCCAGGGAAGGGCAACCTAGCGGGACGAGGCTAGAGACCCTACAGCTACCCACTCTCATTCCATGAACAGTTAGCCGATGGCGGCAGCTAGGAGAGTCCCCATCAGGCTGATGACCCTTCCCTTGGCTTAACTGTAACTGGGTTTGTTTCGGTCGTTTGGGCTAGGTAGTTACTTTAGCTATGTTTGGTTATATCCGTGGATTAACTACTTTCAGTAAAAGTTAAATCTAGTCTATATATCATTACCATATATAAATGGTAAAGATTAAGACTGAGACTATATCCGGAACTTGATAGCCTCATCAGGAATCCTGTTTAGAAGAACTAAAGCTGTATTACCAAGTTCCCAATCGTGGTGATTTCTGGTCCCGGGGAAACTATTGCTAAGATTACTTAATATATTGTTAAGATTTCTCCTATTCCCGCGCCGAATGGTATTCGAATACTTAAGTATTGTTGATGTAATACTTAAATATTGTTGATTGTAAAACTCAAGTACTGTTGATTGTAAAACAATATTGCTGCGTTCAGTCTCCTGGAAACATTGCAAGTTTACTGATTTTGTGGTGGGTGTATTTATTGAAAATAACACTGCTGTATTAATTGTATTCTATTATCTTTGTAATATCTGCGCATTTCATAATGCAAATTCAAAAAATACTATTTTATCCATGTACTGTATATATATATATATATATATATATATATATATATATATATATATATATATATATATATATATATATATATATATATATATATTGATGTATATTTAGTCAGCAAGAATATTAACTATTGAAGATAAAGACAATATTTAAGATGAACGGAAGAAAATACTAAAACGCTTGTGCTCTTTAACCTTTTATGAAAAAATCCAATTTTTTGTCAAGAATTATATCCTAGATTAGATTCCGGAAAACCCATAAGGCCCATTAAGCTATTACTAGTTTATACAAATGAATAAATAATACCATTTGGTTCCCCAAATAATAAAAACAGACAATTTATAAAATTATACATGTGCAGTGTTCCCGCAACACAGTTTTAAAATTAATAGTCGTAAAAAAATTATATTTTCAATTCCCCAAAAATTTAACAAACGCTAAACAATAATTTATCGAACTAGCAATGGAAACAAATACATAACATAGTCCTAATATTTTTGAGTATCCCGCCAAGAGACCAAACTGTAAACTCACTGGTGGTATGGTCTACACACCTGTGCCTGGCGTGGTTTACACCTGTACCTGGCGTGGTCTACACACCTGTACCTGGCGTGGTCCACGCGACAGGGGCCTCGCGGCTGAGTGGATAGCGCTTGGGGATCGTAGTCCTAATGGCCCGGGTTCGATTCCCGGCGGAGGTAGAAACAAATGATCAAAGTTTCTTTCACTCTGATGGGTCTGTTCACCTATCAGTAAATAGGTACCTGGGAGCCAGACAGCTGCTACGGGCTGCTTCCTGAGGATGTGTGAGTGTGATAGCGAGAAATATATGTAGTAGATAGAGGAAAAATAGTTTGGTTAGAAAGGCGGGGACCAGGAGCTAATAGCTCGATTCTGCAGGCACAAATAGTAACTACCTGTAAGTGACGGTGGGTCACTTACAGCCTACAGCTGGTAGTGACCTTCAAGTGTATAACTCATTAGTTCTCAGTTTTAATTCTGTATTTGTGAAGGGAAGCTGAGAATTTGTCTCTCGAAGGACAATGGTTGAGCTGAATGCCGTTCTGATCAGTTAACTATGTACCAAACAAGACATTCCAAGTATAGTGTTCTCCCATGACAACCTGAGAACTGTGCACTGAGGGTGGTACAGTCCGCAGTGCCTAGGGTTAACAGTTTAAATTCTATATCTCATGTGCATTGCAAGAACGCACTTAAAGTGATGTAAATTTTAGTCAGTACATTAATATTTATGTGTATTTTGAAATTCGCTAAGCAAAACAAAGTAAAAAAAAGATGACATCTTCACATTTACTTACAAAATAAAACTTCAATTATTACCGTTATCATTGGTTACTTCCCCCAGGATGATGAAGTTAGCGGTAGTGTTGTTGATGGGGTTGGCGGGGGTGGTCCGCCCTCAGTGTGTCTCCAACAACGACACCCTGCCCCTGCCTCCCAAACCTGACCTCGCCCACATCACGCCCTTCGCCATAGACCTCTTCAAGGAGCTCAACCCAGCCGGGACAACCGGCAACTTCTTCTTCAGTCCCTACAGCGTCTGGAACGCCCTCCTCCTCGCTTACTTCGGCTCGGCTGCCAGGACTAGGCAGCAGCTGGAGCAGGTCCTGCGCCTGAATGACAAGGCAGACACCCTCGCCACCTACAGGGCTCTCAACCGCCTGTGAGTATACTGTCATACCCTCGCCACCTACAGGGCTCTCAACCGCCTGTGAGTATACTGTCATACCCTCGCCACCTACAGGGCTCTCAACCGCCTGTGAGTATACTGTCATACCCTCGCCACCTACAGGGCTCTCAACCGCCTGTGAGTATACTGTCATACCCTCGCCACCTACAGGGCTCTCAACCGTCTGTGAGTATACTGTCATACCCTCGCCACCTTCTAGTCTTTTAGGACGGGATAACGGACTAGAGAGAGCTGTTTCCCCCGGCCTCGTTAGTTAACTGGGGGGGTGGAATAATGGACAAGATAGAGCTATTTTCCCCACCCCCCGTTACATATGTATGAACACGTCGTACTGAACGGGGTGAGAATAGCTTGAGCTACCTCATCCGTTTGTGTGTATTTTACCTCAATAAACTTATTTCAATTTCAATTTCAAAGAGGTGGCACGGGCATGTAAGTTTACTCCATGAGGAACCCGCCTATTTCACATGCGTGTAACATCTGCAGTGTTACCTGTTGCATATTTAAAATTCCATCCGAGGCCTTTCCCAGAGTCCAATGATTCACTTGTTAGGTCTAGCAAACGACTAATTTTAGCAGGTTATGTAAAATTTTATCTGGAAGACCGCTTACACTTCCATTCGGACCATTATGCGCAACAAACTTCTGCTTCTTCCACCTTTCTTCATTGACATCTTCTGAGGTTCTCTGTAAGGTTCTGTTTATCCTAACCTTTTCAGCACACTCCAGCCACTACCCATACACCGGGCCCTCGATCACCAGTGAATACACTAAGGGTGATCGAGGGAGTACACTAACATACACTAACTAACATCTGCATTGGGCAATTGATGTTTGATCATTATTTATTGATATATAATTCCTGTATGTGTTCATGAATCCATGTACATATATAATATGTACATGTATTCAAGAAGTACAGGGCGGCATTGCTCCTCACACAGGTACAGAGAGCGAGGGGCCAACACCAGCGACTATGTGATAGACTTGGCCAACCGGGTGTATGTCGACCAGCAGTTCCCCCTGCGGCCCTGTGTCAGAGACGTCCTCCAGGAAGTGGAAACCATCGACTTCGGGAAGGTGAGGCTGCACTGAGACGAAAGCTCTGCATCTCTGATTGTCATACTGCAGAATGGACATATAAATTGTCACCCCCACACTGCCGTGGATGTTTACGGGCTCACCATAGCCCGTGCTACATGGACACTTCGTCCTGAGTAGCTAAATCTTTAACAACAACAACTGCCGTGGATAGTAGTAGTAGTAGGCATCCATCAGTCTCAGGAGACTATGGAGTTGCGCTCTGGTTGTCGGTCTGGAGTGGCCTCACCAGGGCGCAAAGCCTGGGTAGGTTGATTCAGGGGAGAAGCTGTTACCCAGGCAGCAGGCCCCCCCCTCTCCACAGCGCTGAAAGTCTCCAATGGAAAAGCATACGCCAATACGATTGGTTCCAGCGCCGTCGCGGTATATATATAGTATAGTGGATAGAGCTTCTGTCTCCCACTCGTGGGGTCGGTGGTTCGAGTCTCCTAGTGCCTAGGTGAATGAAATAAAAAAGCGAATGGGCTCGATAGACAATACAAAAAATTATGACAAGGCCTAGTATCGGGGACATTTTTTTATAACAATACATTGTATCAATGAATTGTATCAAGTGTATCAACGCAGGACATGGGAGGGGGGCGGAAGGGAAGGTAACTAACAGGGAAAGCACGAAGCCATTACGACTATATAGCACTTGGAAGGGATCAGGATAAGAATTCAGGATAGTGCCCAACCATTTGGATGGTCGGGGATATGGATGAGTGGAATAGGCTGCCAACTAACATTATTGAGACAAACAGTGAACGGGTTTCAAGAATAAATTGGATAGGTATATGGTGAGAGGGGTGGGTGGGATAGATATATGGTGAGAGGGGTGGGTGGGATAGATATATAGTGACAGGGATGGGTTGACAAGGTATCCGCCTCGTAGTGACGAATAGGCCTAGCCCTGCTGTTGTGCTCGCTAATTCTCGTGTTCCAAATCCCAGCACTAATGAAATACTCCACTGGAAAATATACATATTTGTAAATCATATATTATTAAATATGACCGAAAAAGTAAGATTAATAATTCTAACACGAATTTTCTCTATCTTTCTTACGTTTCTTTTCACTGTTGATGGTAATTCAAAGATCAATTCTCCAAAATTCATTTTTATTTTAAATAAAAAATAAATAAAAATGAATTTTGGAGAATTGATCTTTGAATTACCATCAACAGTGAAAAGAAACGTAAGAAAGATAGAGAAAATTCGTGTTAGAATTATTAATCTTACTTTTTCGGTCATATTTAATAATATATGTCTACAGGAAAGACTGCTACCAAAATATACTAATATTAAAATTTGTAAATCACTGTATATCTTTCTCTTTTTCCCGTCTGTCTGTAATTTGTGTCTCTCTGAGGTCCCCTATAAATGTTCTCTCGACACCCAAGGCGGAGGAAGCGGCTGCGAGGATCAACCAGCTGGTGAACCAGACGACGCGAGGCAAGATCCCAGAGCTGGTGACACCTAGCGTAGTCTCCGGGGTTCCCATGGTGCTCGTCAACGCTGCCTACTTCAAGGGACTCTGGTCCAACCAATTCAATGTTTCCAAAACTGTTCCGGAAAAATTCTTCTTCTCTCCGGATAAACACACATTCGTCCCCATGATGAAGCTGTTGAGTTCATTCAAAGTTGGTAAGGTTCAGAGTTGATGTTCCGTATGAGGCAAATAAAACCCAATAAAAGATTGAGTTCAAATGACAAATTAAATCAGCAAACGTGCATTTTAACCTATATTAAATTGAAACACGTTGTTAAACTCAAAATCTTCTTAAATTTAGATATAATTATCAATAAAAATGCAAACAACGAGTAGTTTGATTGGTCTGCCTGACGAAGCTTGTCTAGTTGCTTGACTATTGCCTGACCAACTATAATCATCTCGGTGACAAAGTGTCGATTCCTTGCAGGAGAATCTAAAGAACTGGGAGCGAGTGTGTTGGAGATGCCGTACAAGGGCGAGGCAGCATCCATGTTTGTGTTGCTGCCCCACACACCTGACTCCACCACCGGAGTAGACAACACCACCACCACGCCCCTCGACGCTATGTTAGGTCGTCTGACGTCTGACACCCTCCGCGCCGCCTTCGCTGGTCTCGAGAAACACGAGGTCGACCTCCAGATGCCGAAATTCAAGCTGGACCAAGAAATCACCGATGAACTTATAAATGTAAGACTTGCGCCCTTGTTTAACATTTGATCGAATTTCTAATTGTTTCCATTAATTTCATATTTTAGTGGTTAGCGTCGCGGGTATGCTGGTCATATATTCCTTCCATACTGGTGTAGTTTGGGGAACTAGGCTATGCAATTTCCATTTGTGATTGGTGATTATTTTGGGCAGTGTTGACATTAATCAAGTGATTATTGCGTGTAGATAATATGTTACTCGTAAAGTTTAATTAAATCCGCACAATTGCTAATATATATACTAATTGTTATTCTCAAGTCCGTCATCATAATGTCCCAGCAGTTTGATAATGAACTGGAACTAATTCACAATAACGAGACAAATTATAAACTTGCAAAATAATGTGCAAGAAGCAACAAACTCCTTACTGAAGTTAATTTGCAAAAAGTGCTGGTTATTAAATTCTTCACAACTACATCATCAAATTTCGAAACCTATGCTATTGTCAAATTTGACGAGAAGTTACATATCTTGATCCACTTTACTCTGCTGGAGAGGGCTTTAACATACACACACACACACACACAGATACTTTAATCTCACTCGAAAGAGTTATCAGTGGTATTGAATGTTGTTACACATTATTTCTGCCAATACAAGGAACCACTGTCCATCGCTCCAAGCGTTTTTCCAGACTTAGCCTAACTTAACCAAACTCACCTAACCTAACTTAACCTAACAGCCTAGCCTAACCTTGCCATGTTTCTCCCTCAGGCTCTCCAGCGCCAGGGGATTAAGGACCTCTTTACCTCTGCGGCCAACTTGACCACATATGATCCTTCAGGGCAGCTGAGGGTGAGCAGGGGGATCCACAAGGCCGTCGTGGAGGTCAATGAAGAAGGCTCCGAGGCCGCCGCCGCTACGGGCATAATTGTTACATTTTCACTCCCACCAAAGCCAAAGAAATTCACCTTGAACAGACCATTCGTCTTCTTGATCCATGACAACCACACCAACAACATTCTCTTCATCGGTATTTACAGGAAGCCTCAGACCGACTAGGAATTATTTATAAGACAATTTTGGCTAAAGTTAGACGCATTGGCCTTACTCATTACACTGGAAAGTTGGAGGATTGTTAGTCAGCAGTGTGTACATCACCGTCAACAATCATCAGTGTGAACAACAACACCAACAATCATGAGTGTGAACACAACCAACAACCATCAATAAGCGTCATCAAAGCTAAACAAAAACAAACTAACAAATAACTAAGCAAATAACTGGCTTAAAAATGCTCATAAAAGTTGAAGATATATGAAATTTAATAATAATAAAAAAAGGCAGAGAAAAACATTAACAAGACATAGAAGACTGAAGAATCTACTTGCAGATTTTGATACGTAAACAATGGAGTCGACGGCCCTCACTTCCTCAACTCTGGTCCCATTTTATGAATCTGAATTATTTAAGGTCTAGTCTAAAGACACTGGAAGTCCAGTCAAGGGCTATGTTGACCAGACCACACACTAGAAGGTGAAGGGACGACGACGTTTCGGTCCGTCCTGGACCATTCTCAAGTCGTCCTGGACCATTCTCATCGACTTGAGAATGGTCCAGGACGGACCGAAACGTCGTCGTCCCTTCACCTTCTAGTGTGTGGTCTGGTCAACATACTTTAGCCACGTTATTGTGACTCATCGCCAATCAAGAGCTATATACACCGAGAGATTATACATGAGGTGGCCTTAATAAGGTATCGTATATTCAATATATCGTATATATATATAATGAAGAAATTACCACGTGATGAATAATGTAACAATGTAAAACCACAAAGGAAAATGAGACAAGAAATTACTTAATAGCTATACCGCTAAGCGCTTTATTCGTGTGACTCAACACTTCTTCAGAAGTATGTGTAATTTCATATGTTATTTTGTTTTGTTTTGGGCGGTGAGGAACTGGTACCAGATTCACGAAACACTTACGTAAACACTTACGAACGTGTACATCTTTCCTCAATCTTTGACGGCTTTGGTTACAATTATTAAACAGTTTACAAGCATGAAATCTTCCCAATCATCTGTTGTTATTGCTATAAACAGCCTCCTGGTGCTTCGGAGCTCATTAACTGTTTAATAATTGGAAACAGAGCCGCCAAAGATTGAGAAAAGACGTACAGGTTCGTAAGTGCTTTCCTGAATGCGCGCACATAGCCTATGCCCACATGTTGCTTGCAAGCAACCTCACTTCTGCTTCATATTTATAAATTCCCTTTATTTAAAGTATTTTTTTTAATATTTACGTAGATTAAAGTTCCTGTTGATTTTCACACAAAAGAATTGATCAAACATTTGAAAATAAGCAACATGGCCGACGAAACGCCGATGGAAATATAATATTCCCCTCCCCGTGGAGTATTATAATTAAAGGCATAAGTATTAATAAATAAATTAAAATAGACAAGTGTCTTATTTCCTTATGAATTAGAGGGAAGGTTTCTCAGTACGGAAACACACCTGTTACAGGTTAATACGTCCACTATGGGGACATCTTAGCCCGTGATATTTTGAACTTTTGTTCAGAGTAACAGAATCTAAAACAACAACACGGGCTCACCATAGCCCGTGCTACTTGGAACTTCTTGTTCCAGATAGCGAATCTTTAACAACAACAACAAAAACAAGTTTAGTTAATTTAGTATGCCCACATACCCATCCTGGAGACGGTAATGGACCCCATACCCATCCCGGAGACGGTAATGGACCCCATACCCATCCCGGAGACGGTAATGGACCCCATACCCATCCTGGGAGCGGTAGAGGACCCACATAAATGATTCTAAAAATATTACTGCATGAAGAGACCCAAATAAATCTTACTGTACAACCATTTTCTTTAGTTCCTTAATGTTGCCTCTCTCTATATTCGTCCGTAATATGCTGTTATACATTATTATTGCTCCAGAGAGGTGAGATAAGATTACATAATCCCAACCTTCAGATAATTATCAATGGTTGGCGAGCTGACTCATTTCCAAGAAGTTACCAGCTTCGCCTGATAATCAACGGTAAGAGGGGTGATCCAGGGGTATAAAAGACGGGAAAAGTTGAGTGAGGAGGGTTACGGGCTATTCATGCCAGTGCCACCTCTTGTGTGTGGCTTACTCTTTATCAATCAATCAATTGAGTGAGGTAGTTACGGGCTATTCATGCCAGTGCCACCTCTTGTGTGTGGCTTACTCTTTATCAATCAATCAATTGAGTGAGGAGGTCAGAGTAGGGAGCAAAGACACAGAGTAAGGAGCTAAGATAGTGCGAGTCTTCAGACAGGTGAGAAGATTTTGTCGATACCGTGTGAGCTGAGACTTCAAACTGTTCGAGTTGTTGTCGCCCACGAAGTTCATCCGATCGGGATATTGAATCTGGTGAGTGTCTGAGTTTTTTCTTTTTTTCCAGTGGTCTGTCAGGTCTGTGAGATAACAGGGAATAGTGAAGCAGAAGATTTTCTAGAATTAATTGACGATTGCTTTCTTACGCAACACATTAAGGAACCAACACGGGAAAATAATATTTTAGATTTAGTGTTAACTAACAGGGAAACGCAAATTAATGACATCGAAATAGGGAGTGAGCTAGGGAGCAGTGATCACAAAGAAATCAGATTTAGCATAGAATGGAATAGACCAGTAGGAGAAAATTCTGTTAAAGTGCCAGATTTTCGTAAAGCTGATTTTAATAGCCTAAGAAATTTTTTGGGTCAAATTGATTGGAAAGGCTTGGGTATGGGGTGTGGGCCGGTCTTGGAGCGAGACATGAACCCAGCGATAGGTGACTTAAATGGGGATTTCGATGTGGATTCAATATATAACTTATTTAAGAATATTCTAAACAAAGCACAGGAACGTAGTATACCATACAAATTGAATAGATCGTATACTAATGACCCAAAGTGGATAACAAAGAATTTGAAGAACCTTATAGGTAAAAAGAGAGCTTGGTACAAAAGGATTAAAAATGGGGAGGTCACTTTAGAACAGGAATTCGTACAACTGGTTAGAAATGTTAAAAAAGAGATAAGGAAAGCAAAAAGAAACTATGAAGTTCGCATAGCAGGGCAAGCAAAGACAAATCCTAAAGGGTTTTTCAGTTATATCGTACTAAGACTAGGGAAAGGATAGGTCCATTAAAAACTGAGACAGGTCAAATAACTAATAGTGATGAAGAGATGAGTAGTATTTTTAATAAATATTTTGTATCTGTATTTACTAAAGAAGAACTTAACAATATGCCTTCAGCCGAACAAGTCTATGTGGGTGGGGACGAGGACAGGTTGACGAGTTTAGCAGTTACCAGGGAGGATGTTCTTAAACAAATAGTAAAACTCAAACCAAACAAATCCCCAGGGCCGGATGAAGTGTTTGCTAGGGTGCTTAAAGAATGCAAAGAGGAGCTTTGTGACCCACTGTCAACCATATTTAATAAATCAATAGAGTCAGGCAGAGTGCCAGAGTTTTGGAAAGTTGCTAATGTGATACCAGTTTTTAAGAAAGGAGATAGATCACTTGCGTCTAACTATCGACCAATTAGCCTAACGTCTATTGTGGGAAAGTTACTCGAATCTATAATAGCAAATAAAATTCGTCTTCATCTTGAAAAACATAAATTAATAATTGAGTCGCAACATGGTTTTATAAATGGCCGTTCATGTTTAACAAATTTGTTATCTTTTTATTCTAGCATTGTTGAGGCAGTTGATAGTGGTAAGGATTGCGATGTTGTATACCTTGACTTTAGCAAAGCTTTTGATACAGTGCCACATGAAAGACTGATTAAAAAATAGAGTCTCATGGTATTGGGGGTGCTATATTAAGCTGGATTAGGGCATGGCTATACCAAAGGAAACAGAGAGTTAGTATAAATGGAATCAAGTCAGAGTGGGAAAATGTTGTAAGTGGAGTGCCTCAAGGCTCTGTCCTGGGACCTCTGTTGTTTATAATATATATAAATGATTTAGATTCAGGTTTGAGTAGCAACATTTGCAAATTTGCCGATGATACGAAAATCGGTAGGGAAATTAATTCGGAGGAGGACTCACTATCACTTCAAGTTGATCTAGATAGGGTTTTGAAATGGTCAAAGGATTGGCAGATGCAGTTTAATGCTGATAAATGTAAAGTTCTGAGGTTAGGTAATGATGATAGAGTTACAAGATACGAGCTAGATGGTGTTGTGATTGCGAAGTCGGATTGCGAAAGGGATCTGGGAGTTATGATTAGTAAGAATTTAAAACAAAAGGATCAATGCATAAATGTTCGTAATAAGGCAAATCGGACACTTGGATTTATTAATCGCAGCGTTAGTAACAAGACACCTGGTGTGGTTCTCAAGCTATATCTTGCTCTAGTTAGGCCCCATTTAGATTATGCAGTTCAGTTTTGGTCGCCATATTATAGAATGGATATAAATTCACTTGAACGGATTATGTGTTTTGTAAAACTCCAAGAGCAGTCAGCGGTATTGGGTTCTTGACTTTTGGTTCAGTGACTACTCTAATCTAGAGTAGTAGACATCCTTCAGTCTCGGGAGACTATGGAGTGGCGCCCTGGTTGTCAATCCTGGTGCAGCGTCTGGTGTGACTGATGAGGCCAATCCCAGAATGGCAGTCCATCCCACAGTGAGCACAAACGAAGTCTGATTCTGGTCTGTCTTCCTGGCTACCGGCTTTCCTTCTCCGTCTATTTGCCTCCGATATCTTGGCAAGTGACTCCTCGAACTTGGAGAGACCTTTCTGAACAGACTGCCCCCAGGCTGAACAATCTGCGGCCAGTGTTTGCCATAAAGCAAGATCGACGTCCATGGCTTTCAGGTCCCTCTTGCATACGTCTTTGTACCGTAGCTGGGGCTTGCCTGTTAGACGCTTTCCCTGCGTCAGCTCTCCGTACAGGAGATCCTTGGGGATCCTGCCGTCGCCCATTCGCACAACGTGCCCGAGCCAGCGCATTCATCTCTGCTTCAGCATTGTGTACATGCTGGTGATTCTAGCTCTCCCCAGGACGTCACCTGGTCCTGCCAGGTGATGTCCAAGATGTGTCGGAGGCAGCGCATGTGGTAGGCACTCAGCTGTCTTTCCTGACGGGCGCGGTCCATTGTAGAATTTAATCAATATTAAGTGGGCATGTGGGTATTCGAAATGACTGCGAAAAAAATGCAAATTTTCAAGTTTTAAATGTCTGTAAATATTATCCTAAGAACTTAGAGGTATTATTTTTATTAATGTTTGAATGTTATTGGAAGTTATCATCAGTGTGATAACTGTGGTTTAAAAGACGAGTTCCATTTCTCGTCTAAAAATATATTTTTAATGGATAATAGCAGCTCTGCCCTCTTCTCTCTCTCTCCCCCTACTAATCTTTTAATTTCATCCCTAATACTATTTTATAATCATTTCTTTTCATCACTAATTGTTTCCCAACTTTACCTTTTCACTAACTATCTTACCTCCTCTCTTCCTCCCTCTGTCCTCTTTAACTTCTCTATCCCTAACTGCTCCCCTAATCCTCCTTCCATCCATTAATTCCATTTTATCTATTTATTCCTATCCCACCCTCCTTCCGTTACACTATCAATAAAAAGAAGACATCTTTACTACTCCCTCAAGCCCGCTAATACAGCTTGAAGGGTCAGGCTACGTTGAAGAGATATTGTCAGTTAAGTGATGTCCAATAACAGTATCTACGGTACTGATGTCAGTGTATGCTGATGTCAGCCCTAATCAAGACTCCACATCCTGCCCTTCCATCCTTAACTACCGAACTATTACAATATACGCGCAGAGAGCTTAATTTAGGTACTTTTCTAATTATACAATTATATATTGCCTTCAACTGTCCTGGTTCGTATACTTTGTTTTTATTTACGGCATTTCAAAATAAGATTCCCATATATCCTCTCTTGTTATACCTTAAAATACATTATTCATTTCTTCCAACCTATTCACTTGAAAGGAATAATTCATTAAGTCCCCCGCCTCTCATTAGGCTAATCGCCGAAACTACATTTGTCAGAAAATAAAGGAACTCAATTCTCAGTATTCTGTAGATTCAATCCCATCCTCATTACCACAATGAAAACATTTCTTAGGCATCCTAAAATTATTCCCATAGTTTCGTTTTGTGCCTTCTCCCTCTTCTTTAGTGTAGTCTTTACCGAAACCTAAGATGACAGAGGCAGCATAATCAATAAGAAATCTCACAGTACTCAGAAATCTTATGTATATCGTGAATACCTTCTCCCTGTCACAACAGGGAGAAGTCTTTAGTCTTTAATGTTTTTCCTGCCCGAAACGCTTTGCGTAATACAGTAGTGGCTTTAGGCATTGTATGTACTAGCTCTATCTATAAATCTATCAATTTTTGTAAAACCTCTTGTATGTATGTACTTTACCTGAATAAACATTTATTTATTTATTTATAACATGCCGGGGCTTTCAAACGTTGTAATCGCCTTATAGAGATCATATTATTATATAAGAAAATAAGAAATATAAGTATACAAATGAATTAAATTATATCACAAAGATGTTAATACGATGTTATATATATCAACACAATACGAAACAATGGCTATGAACTGGATATAGGCTTAGATTGAGAAAGACCTGGGTAAATACTGGTTTGGAAATCTGGTTGTTAAACTATGGAACAAGTTACCAGGTAAGATAACAAACATGGGATGTGTGGGTTGGGTGTCTACATATGACTAAGATTGGGAGGATGTAAATATAGGCACTGCCTCGTTACGTATGGGCAAACAAGCACTCTGCGGTTTCCTTAATTCAACATGAACAATTCTTATGTTCTTATGGTAATTTGGTTTGGTATAAATAGGAGACGCCTAATAATAGGTCTTCTGCAGTCTACAATTCTTATTACTAACGTTTCTAAATAGGGATTCTAGTAACTATTTGTCTTATTTCGAACATTTATACATTCATTTAATTTTTATATATTAAAATCCCTACTAATCATTATCTTTATATTCACATTACAATTTCGACGTTGTTAAGCGTATATCCGGTTACTCTATTAAAACAACTAGGCTTAGAAAAATACATTTGGGAGCATTAAACTGCATCTGAGTTACCTTCGTTCGTTTGGAAAAGTCGAACAAATGTTTAAATTTGGCGGTTCAGAAGTGATGTCGAGACGGCAGCGTCAGGCGAGTCCTCTGGCGGCACCTCCTGAAGCTGGCGGGGGGAGGACTCCAGCCATGTACGATGATCATCTTAAAAACCGCAAAAAATACAACATTTTGATAATATATAGCAATTATATACAAATAACAACGTATACATGGACAATAGTAGGTAAGAAATGATATCAAATAATATATAAGCTAATTCAGATAAGGAATATAGCAATATTTCCTCATTAGAGCCTGAGGTATTTAAGTAACATTATTTCATTATAACAAATTATACATACTTCTTTCACTAAAATAAAAATATTTTAACTGAGTTATATGCGTTATTATTAAATTAGCTTGTCAGAGCTTGGAATATGTGAGGAAGAGGGATGAAGAGGAAGTAAACGACAAGAGTGAGACAGGGGACGACACCCTGGCAACGCTTCCCGTCATGTTTACAGTCGGTGTGCTGGTTTCTACATGGTGGACTTTATGCGAATAATTTTCTTAAGATGTGCTGTTCACTGTGGTTTGTTTAAGTCGTAGAGTGCGTGAACTGTTGCATTGGACCACCAAGCACGTTAGAGTGGCGTGGTATATTACAGTAGTACGAAGAGTGATCCTACAGTGAGAGGAGAAGAGGAGGCGGTACAGTGTGCTCTCAGCAGACGAGTGACAGACTTCTTGTTCATAATATGTAAGTATTATCTCCACCCGTTTAAAGTTAATATAGCAGGAAAGTAATGTGATGTGTCGGTGAACGCCGGCACGCGGCTGAACGCCGGGGAACACTCTGGCTCTGATCTGGGTGAGATAAGAGATTAATCGTGTCACCGAAATGTTTTAGATTGCAAACTAAAGGAATTTATATATAGGTTTATATTCTTCAGGACTCCCTTTTATAATTTGAAAGGGGTTCGAGGAAAATAAACCACTTTGGTTTGTTTTAGCATACTCTTCACTTGATTATATGGTTATATGGCATTTACATCATGCCACTGCCAACTCTATAGGGAGAAGAACGGCAGGTCTGAAGATATAAAATTGCAATTGATAAGAAATCATTAGTTTGATCGATTTTTAGACCATCTTGGTGGTTAACAATGCCAGATCTTTCTAGGGTTCAAAATCTTGATCTAGATCAGTGTTGTATAGTGCAGGTTATCTTGAGATGATTTCGGGGCTTAGCGTCCCTGCGGCCCGGTCCTCGACCAGGCCCCCTTTTTGTTACACACCCCCAGGAAGCAGCCTGTAGCAGCTGTCTAACTTCCAGGTACCTATTTACTGCTAGGTAACAGGGTCGTCAAGGTGAAAGAGACTGCCCATTTGTTTCCAACTCCATTGGGGATCGAACCCGGAACCTCAGGACTACGAATCCGAAGTGCTGTCCACCCAGCTGTCAGGCCCCTTATAAGGTGCCTGACACAAGGGGTCTGATACCCCCTTTATGCAAGGGTGTACCAGACCGGTATGATACACGGGTGAAGTAATATTAGGCTATGCATAACACCAGAGTCCAGTCTTGCCTCCTGGTATTGGAGGTAATTCTGATGCAGTGGCTTCCTGCAAACATTCAACTAATTTTCTGCTTCTTGTTGCTTTTGGGCAGCATTGGGGTTCAACTGATATTGGGCACCTTGGTGGGGCTGCTCCTGTAGCTCTTGGTAACCATTTCATGGTGGCTCCCAGTGACATCATATTGGGGGAAAACATCTATACAAGTTTCAAGAGTGCTTGAAACTTGTATAGACGTTTTAGGGTTACTTTCAGGGTTACTTGGATGTTTCAAGTGGTATCCATGTGGTGATTGATTGAGGGGCGACAATGTTAGAGGGATCGAATGCCCCCTGTAATCGTGTGACTTTCTTGGATTTGGTTACTGGAGACTCGTCAAGTGTCCTTGGGGTTCCTGGTCAGCAGTTCACTCTACTATCGTGAGACCTCACTATAACAAATTAAGAGACAGAGCCACTTTGCTCCTTGGGTCAATTTTTGTGTTTGTTTTTCTCTTCTGTTTTGGGAGGGCCTACAACTGCTAAAATGTTTATAAGGTGTGCTTTATAATAAATAATCCACATGAAATCCTTGATTTGTAATGTTGTACTGTAATGTTCTAAATGTTGGATCTCTGGAGTGTTTCATATGTAAATTAGGGCTATACGGGTACAGTCTACGAATGATTTTTTGGGAATATAAATACCTTGCTTTGCCTTGTACGGGCCATTAGGCCTTCTGAAGTTTTCTTTGTTCTTATTAGTTTTTCTTTATTTTCAAATATAAATGTGGTCCAAGCAACCTAAAACAAAAGTTTTTTGTGTCCTCAAGACATACAGTATCATTATAAATACTGTAACTACAGTATATAATAGTTATAATCGTCAGTTATATTAGATTTTTGGAGTATTTTTCTTTTGGTTTTCTCAATTTTTATGACATTTCTAATAAGAAAATACTGTATGTGCCTTTTAAGTACATGAAAATCAATTTTATTTAAATTTCTTTTTCAATTTTGAATCATATACCATATACAGTAATACAGAAAATGGCTTAACACTTTCGCACTCCCGGCGGGCCACCCGCATCACACCGGAAGGTAAGCCGAGCATTGCCGGTGAGCACACAACCAAATGTCAAATGTTTATACTTAATAATAAGGCTAAGCAAAAATTTATGCACGACGCCGAGTGTCATCACGTACTCTGCGTGTTTTGGTTTTATGACGCCGAGAACGTCATCAGGGTGGAAAAGTGTAAAGTCAATATTAGGCAAACTGTGTTTCATATGTATAGAATTCCATATAACAATAAATGCAGTACAACAAATAAGTTGCCTCTTCCCTGAGATTGCTTGCCTATGACACTGTACTATTAGTGCCACCACCTAGTTATGGCAGGAGGTAGTGTAATCTATAATGGTAATTCTTGTGTTGGTAATTAACTTTCATATGGTGTTGAGGGTATTTTCCTCTGCTGTGTTATAGCGGACTGTTCCCTCGGTTATGGCTCGGGTTTGAATCGTCATTCTCTCCCTTAACACACATTAACCCAAAATATTATTTGTAAAGATTATTATAAAGCCTGGGGAAAGGTTATAATCATCCTGGTGGTTCCAAAAGCTCCTGGCTCAAAGGTCCATCAGAGCGACCCGCACAGAAAGTAATACTTCACTACACTCAAAACCATATTTTGTTTTATTTAGAATTGTGATTCAGTCAGACTTTATTCATAAATGTAGTACATTTTTTTATTTATTTATTTATATATATTGTACTGTACAAGAGTTCTTACATTCTTGTACAGCCACTAACACGCAAAGCATTTTTGGCAAGTCCTGAATCCTAATATTCTTTGGCATACCTGGAAAAATTTAGTAAACAGAGGCTACAGTTAAGGATTTGTGCCCAGTAAATCCTCCCCGGCTAGGATACGAACCCAGGCCAAGCGAGTGTCTTACCACTATGCCACACGGACTGCTACATTTATGATTGAGAAAGTGTACATTAAAAGTACTACAGTAAATATATTACATGTCACAGTAGCAAGTAAACATTATCATCATCAGACTCGGAAACATTAATTGGTAACAACTTGCACAAATCATTTCAGTGCTGGCTAAACTAAACCTGTGTATATGAATCTAAATAAATTACATTTTAGGCATTAAGTGAGTAAGATTTAGCCAAGAATTAGAAAGATGATTGTGACGGGTTGTGGTATCGCAGCTACTCTATACTGAACCAAGATGGTATGGCTCTCCCTCACACAAATAAAAAAAAAAATGCTGTTATTGGCCTTGCAGTGTGTAAGTCGCAGGTGGAAACAAATGAAAATCATCAAATAAATAATTAAAACAATTTACTGAAATATTAATGAACAAAAATGACACATGCCAATACTTGGCTATCATGTAATGCAAAGGTGAACAAGTTAATATGACATTAATGCAAAAATAAACTAAGCAATGAATAAAAAGCATAAGATATACTGGTGTACTGACGATAACTACCATACCACCACAGCATCCAGCATATGACGTTGGCTGAAGGCAGACGGCGTTGTAGGGGACTAAGGTGTTCCTAGAGCACTAAGAGAGAGACTGGCTCTCCAGGGAGGTGGTGCCCTTTATATAGTCCGGCGGTGATGACTCATTAGGTGTCAACACAAGGTGGACATCTGGTCAACTAGCAAACTGCTAGTTTGTGGCTGGCGGTGCCTTTGTGTTGAGCTGCACCACTGCCAGTTGAAGGCGGATAACTGCTTGTTTGTGGGGGCAAACTACCGGTTAGCAGTAGCGCCCAGCTTGCCTCTTGAGTCCTACCAGGCCGTACCAGGCCCTGGGGGAGGGGGGTATGGAGAGGTGGCAGGACTGATGACTCATCTGGGCTGGTGTAGAGACTTCCAGTGCAGAGGCATTGAAGGTGAAGGGAAAAGGCAGTTCCACTGCTTTGCAGGGGATTCACGTGACATGATATATTGTTAACATAATTGTAAACATGAGACAATTAGCAGTAGAACTTGTAAAAACTAATTGTACCATGACATTTTACATACTTGCACACCCTTAGCATTCTACATCAATAGATTCTGGGGCTATCCTGGCTCAAAATCACTCCATGCACACAGCTCATATATCTCGAGATGATTTCGGGGCATAGTGTCCCCGTGGCCCGGTCCTCGACCAAACCTCCTTTTTGTTACACATCCCCAGGAAGCAGCCTGTAGCAACTGTCTACTTCCAGGTACCTATTTACTGCTAGGTGAACAGGTGCATCAGGGTGAAAGAAACTGCCCATTTGTTTCCGCCTCCACCAGGGATCGAACCCGGAACCTCAGGACTACGAATCCAAAATGCTGTCCACTCGGCTGTCAGGCCCCTGTCATCAATCCCATTTCCCTACAGGCTACTCACCTTTTGGATGGCTTAATCTTCATTTGTCAATCAATCTGATTTTAATTGGACTCAAATGTCTACCAGTAATCCATCTCTGTGACATTAGTTTCTTAATCATTCCAAATACTCAGCTGGGCATGTCCCTGCTTTCCATGCTGACAAGTGTGTGTTATCCTGTCCTGTAGACCTGCTACCTCATTAAAAACACTTAAGCTGTATTTCCTAACAATTAAGTTTATATTTCTGGAAAGTAGGAGTGGCCAGTGATACCTTGAGGTTACCTTGAGATTGTTTTGGGGCTTAGTGTCTCCGCTGCCCAGTCCTCGACCAGGCCTCCTCGTTACTTGACTGGTCAACCAGGCTGTTGGACGCAGCTGCCCACAGTCTGACGTATGAGTCACAGCCTGACGTATAAATCACAGCCTGGTTGATCAGGTATCCTTTGGAGGTGCTTATCAAGTTCTCTCTTGAACACTGTGAGGGGTTGGCCACTTAGGCCCCTTAAGTGTAGTTGAAGAGTGTTCTAAGCCTCGGGCCTCTGATGTTGATAGTTCTCTCTCAGCGTACCTGAGGGAGAACCTGCTTGCACCTCTGCTTTTCAACGTGGTATTCTGCACATTCTGCCATGCCTCCTGGTCTCATGTGGTGTTATTTCTGTGTGCAGGTTTGGGACCAGCCCCCTCTAATATTTTCCACGTGTAATGTATGTGATAAGTGAGTGGAGACATGTAGATGTAGGTTTCGTCCTAACCACACACTCAGATCTCGACAAAGCACTCAGGAGAGTGTGAAAGACTTTGTGTAATT